TTAAATTATTTTAGCATTTTAAATACTTTAACATCTTGAATATTTTTACATTTTAATTTAAATATTAAAAACTTTTTTTTTTTTCATTTTAAACACTTTTTATTCTAATATTTTAAATTTTAAAACACATTTTAAATATATCATTTTAAATTTTTTACATTTAAATTTAAAAAATCAAAATGTATTACCCATAAAGACATCTAAACAGAAATAATTACTACACCACAACAGAATACATGAAGTGTTGCCTGAGTAATAAAAAATAATAAACTTACATCATGCTGAACAGCATCTATAGTATTTTCAACTGATTTTGAAGCACCATACTCATCTTTCACCATTTTTGTGACTTGAACTTCAATTATTTTGTTTACCTGAAAAACCACACAAAAAACATTATATTTAAAGATTCAATTAGGCAAAGCAGAAAAATTGAATTCAATTGATATAAAATATTATCATGATTATTCTGTGCATATTGGTTCTGTGTTATTGAAAGTGCTTTTTTATAATTTGTTTTGTGCTCCGGTTTTGAAAAATGTGCCTTTTGTATCAAGATAATGATTATTTTGAAGAAATGAATGATTGAGAATTTCATCGACCCGGAACGCCCCATTTGCATGCACGGCAATGGCTGCTACGGAGGATGACGTGTTTTACGATGCTCTTGAAAAACACTGTAAAATTATTGAATCAGCACTTCAATCTAAATGCAATATGAATCAACAGGTTCGCGAGGAGGCCAGGCAGGCTTTGGGTGAGTTGAAATCTTCTATTTATAAGAATTTTGAACGTATCAAAGCTGTTAAATTTATGGATGCATGTAAGGAAAGTTTGAAAGACGCCTTTTCAAGACCTAGTTATGCTAGTGTGGTGGCGCCATCTGATGTTACAAGGATTAATGAAAAATCCTTGATTTCTTCGGATTGTTGTTTAATTGTAGACTCTGAAAACTGCTCTTCTGACGATGTTAAGAAAGTTATTAAACTAAAAAAAATTAATCCATTAGAAGCTAAGTTAGGTGTATATACTTTGAAAAATATTGGAAAAGATAAAGTCTTGGTTAAGTGTTTGACAGAAAATGATCGGAATCGACTTCAAGCCGAGATTAATGAAAAGTCTCCGGAATTAAACACGTCCTTACCAAAAAAGAGGAATCCTGTTTTACTTGTAAAAAATGTGCCAAATGAAATACCTAATGAAGATCTTCTGAAAGTGATTTTTGAACAAAATCCCGAAGTTGTTGAATCTGATGAAAACAGAAGTATATGTAGAGTTCGTTTTACTTTAAAAACCTTCCAGTTCACGAGGCACGTTGTGATTGAAACGCACCCCATGGTTCGTAAACGCATTCTGAATCAAGCCAGGTTGAAAATTAATTGGAGTATATGTGAAATTGACGATTTTATTATCTTCAATAGATGTTTTTAAGTGTCTTGGGTAAAACCATCGTGCTGATGAATGTCGTGAGCGAACAGCCTGTTTTAAACTGTTCTGGAGAACATAAGGCAAGGGATTGTTCGAATAGGAATGCTGTAGCTTGTATAAATTGCATCCGCTTCAATCATAAAACAAATAACAGCTATAAAAAAGTGAATGTTAATCACAAACCTTTTCAGAATGCTGTCCTAGTCATGAATTTATGAGAAAGAACATTCAATCTCGAATTGATTATGGCTAGACGCGTTCTAAAGTGTGTGCAGTTAAATCTTCATAAATCCAAATCTGCGACACAACAGCAGCTAATTTTAAATATGGAAGCTGATGATATTGACTGTGCTTTGGTTCAGGAACCTCATTATTACAAGAATTTTCTTCCAGGATATCCTGGCACTTATAGACTTTATTGTGATCCTAATTCTGATAATGTAAAGGCGGCAATCATTATTCGATCACGTGATCTATCAACATTTCTTGATTATAAAAATACGGATTATAATATGGTTACCTTGGATATTACTGTTGGCTCAACTGTGCTCACTCTTTTTTCATACTATTTTGAACCCTCAAGAAACATTGACTTAGATCTTCATAAAATTAGTCAAGTCTTTATGTCCAAAAATCTTAATCGACTGGTTTGGTGTATGGACTCTAATGGCAAATCTGAATTATGGTTTAGTCCCTATTCTGACTCTCGTGGAGATAAACTGAGTGAATTTATTTCTGCCAACAACCTATTTGTTATTAATGAAGATTATGGACCTACGTTTCAGGCAACTCAGGGTTCTAGTTATATTGATGTTACTGTTATTGGTTCAGATCTTCTCCAGGATATTTCGAGTTGGCGACTGTCTGAAAAAGAATCCCTTTCTGATCATATGATGATTGAATTTGAATTTTGTCTTTCTACGTTCTTACGAGACACCTCAAATGTTCCTTTTAAAATCTTCAATACAGGGAAAGCAAATTGGGATCGTTTTCGAAAATTTTGTTCTTCTCGCATCACCCGTTTCATTGATATTCTTAACGACTGTACTGACGGTTCTCGACTAAATACTCTTGTTGAGAATTTTAGTTCTGTTCTTCTCCAGGCATCTCAAATTTCCATACCTGTTAGGAATCATGGTAAGCACAATGTTCCTTGGTGGTCTGCCGAAATTTTTTGTATGAGAAAAAGGCTTAATGCCTCTAGGCGTAGATTTCAGCGTTGTAAAAAATCCGCCTCTTAGAGAACTTTATAAAAGTAAATATCTTGAATATAGAAAAGTTTACAATCTAAAGCTTGCCGATGCTAAATCTCAGTCTTGGAAAACATTTCTTTCGACCATTGATGTTCGCAATGTATGGAAAAAGATTTACACGTATGGAGTTAAAAGAGATTTCATGAAAAAAATTGAAATAACTGGTATTTGTCTTTCCACTGGAGAGACAACCAACTCTTTAGAAGAGACAATTACTGCTGTGCTTCAGAAATCTTTCCCCTCGGATCTAGAGGAAAATGATGATGATTTGCATAAGGAATACCGTCAAGCTGCGCGTACTGCTTATTCTTCTTTTGTAGATCCTATGTTTTCTTGTGATGAAGTTAATACAGTTATTTCTATGCTGGAACCAAATAAATCACCTGGTCCTGACTCTATTTCGAATGAGATTATTAAACAGTTTCATTTAATGTTTCCTCAATTTCTCCATAAACTTTTTAATGTTTGCTTAAATTGTGGCATTTTCCCTCGTGTTTGGAAACATGCTCAAGTAATTCTTATTCCTAAAGGAAATGAGTCTAGGATTCCTTGCCTAGATAACCTTAGGTGTATAAGCTTACTTCCTGTTTTGGGTAAGTGCTTGGAAAAACTTTTTATTAACAGAATTTGCTGGTATCTCCGCCATAGAGACCTTCTTTCTGGTAATCAGTATGGTTTTACACCTCAAAAAAGTTCTGAAGACGCTCTTTTACGCTTGAATGAAATTGTTCAGAGAGGAAAAAAGAAAAACTTGCACACTATTTTGGTCTTTTTGGATATTAAGGGCGCCTTCGACTATGCGTGGTGGCCTTGTATTCTCAATCTTCTCAAAAAAGTGGAACTTCCAATGAATATTTTTTCACTTGCTGCTGATTTTTTAAATGATCGGGCGGCCAAATTGCAATTGGGCTCGGCTTCTGCAATTCGTCACCTTGAAAGGGGTTGCCCTCAAGGTTCTGTTTCAGGACCTACGTTTTGGAATATTATTATTAATGATCTCCTATTAAAAACTGGAAAATCTTGCTTGTTGTTGTGATACTATAGCCTTTGCGGATGATGTTTTGTTTTGCTTCCAGAGTAGGGGACCTTTCTGCTACTTTTTTACAGGCACAAGAGACTTTAAATTTCGCCTCCAACTGGTCAAAAGGTTTTAAATTAGATTTTAATCCTGATAAAACCAGGGTTATGATTATTGAAAAGCGAAACATCTGTTATGATGCATTTCAGTTATCTCTCGATGGCACCCCTTTGACTGTGGTAAAGCAAATGAAATATCTTGGGGTTTTTCTTGACTGTAAATTTTTTTGGAAACAACACTTAACTTATGTATCAGAGAAATGTGATAAATTACAGCGTGGATTAAGTCGTATTGCACGCAACACATACGGTATTAATTACAACGTTCATTCGCTCATCTATAAACAAGGAATTGCCCCCTTCATTATGTATGGCTCTAGAGTCTGGGGTATATCGCTCAAGAAGAAGATAAATTATAGATATTTACGACGTGTTCAAAGGCGGATACTTCTGCGGGTCATATGTGGATATCGTACCGTAAGCTATGAGTCTGTTTATGCAATTTCTGGCTTTCCTCCAATTGACATTGCCATTCTTCATTCTATTGCTTATAAGGAAAATATTTCTGCTTCTACTGTCTCTCAGTATGATTGTATATTACCTCTATCTGATCTCCCTCATCCTTCAGAAAGAAATGCTGTTAATTTTATTCAGTTTAGCAATAAAGTCGTAGATGATTCGCCTGTAACTTGCTATACTGATGGCAGCAAAATTGATGGCAAGGTTGGTCTCGCATTTGTTGTCTTCAAAAATGGTCTTGAATTTGAGCACTTTCAATTTAGAATCAGAGATGAATGTACCGTTTTCATAGCTGAACTTTTGTGCTTAAACTTCGCCGTCAAATGGGTCTCTAAACAAAACAGTGCTGTTTCAGACTATCTCATTTGTACTGATTCCCTTTCATCCTTGGAGATCTTAAATATATTTCTTCTTCTAATAATATCATTATTGAGATTCAAAAAGAACTGAAAAATCTAAAGGATAAAAATATTTCGGTTTCATTGTCATTTGTTCGTGGTCATACAGGTGTTGTTGGGAACGAACGAGCCGATTTCCTTGCTAAGACTGCGACTAGGCAGGAAATTGACACTTTTGTCAATATCCCTAATTCCTTCTATAAGAAGGTCATGTATAAAAGCATTGTGGAGTCGTGGAATCACGAATTCATTAATTCAAATAAAGGGAGTTTAACTAGAAGATTTTTCCCTTCTATTAATATGAGATTGTCGTGTCATCATTTCTTCACCAATTATAAATTAACCCAGTTTCTTACTGGACATGGGAATTTTAAAAGTTATTTGAACAGATTTAAGTTGAGTCCTGAGTCTGTCTGTGACTGTGTCCTCGGCGGCGAGGAGAATGTAGAACATGTGCTTCTTCTATGTCCTAAATATGAGAACGAAAGAAAAGTCTTGAAACTGGGACTGAAAAATTTTAATATTAACTGGCCTCCAGAGTTTTACCAATTTATTTCCGAGAGAAGTGCTTTTAACACTTTTGTCAATTCATTGTAAAACTGTGTAATCATCCTTAATTTTATTTCAATTTTCTCTTCTGTTTAGTTTGTATTGTGTTTCTTACTTACTTCTGTAAGCCCCATGTGATACTATGTGGTACATGGGGAACTTGTTGTGTTTCTTTTAATAAAAAAAAAAAAAAATTGATATAAAAATAAAAATTCAAAAACTGTTATCAATAACTGTGAATATAACAGTAATCTTTAGTCAATATCAACGATACATCACTAATAATAACTTAATTATATGCATGATTTAAAATAATCAAGCACTAGCACATACACATGCTTTTCCACCAATTTACATACACAATCATATTTTCACCTCATGCATTTTTTATTTAAATGTTTATTTATTAACATTTAAATATTAAATTTTAAATGTTTATTTAAATGTTTAATTCTCATTGTTTTTTAATTAATTTTAATGTGCCTTGAAATAGTTCAATAAATACTAAAAGTATCAAGCTATTAACATATTAGTTTCCTCACTAATTAAGGCCTTTATTTTTAAATATGTCTTTTAATTATTCCTGTTTCAACAAAAACATGTTTTTGATTTTTTAACACTACATCTACGCATAAGTTTTAAATTTAGCCACATAAAAACAACAAAAATACATTTATTATATGCCTTAAATACATAAAAATATTTTGCTATAGAATGGACACTTAAGTATTTTAATTTATTTCTTCTAAAATTGAACTAAATGATTATGTTATAAATTTTATACTTACCTCATCTTTATACATCCACGCCCAAACACCACCAGTTATTTCTGCAGCAAAAATGACCAGTAAAAATATGAAAAACTGAAAAGGAAGCAATATATTTTTAATTTTTCCGATAAACATGCCTATATTGCTTTAAAACTTATTTTAAAAAATAGAACATTAATTATTTCTAAAAACACAAGACAGAAAAATTCCTCTAAGTGTCTCAAAATAATTTTAAATTAAAGTAATTTCGAACACACCTAAATAGGAATAATTTAAAACATACAATTTCAAAAAGGATCTTATGAAATACTTACACACAAAACTGATGCACGTTCTAGTTCCCCCCTCCCAATCTTTTCTTTCTGTTTCATAAAGACGTCACATATGAGGAAAATAAATTCATGTTAAAGGTTCGCACCAGATGGCGACACTAACCGAAATCATGCTAAAATAATGAATTATAGACTGGTTATCATAAATTAAGGAAAAAATCTCAAAAAGCACGATTACTAAAAAAGTTACATGTAGAATTTAAATGAAACTTACCCACAATATCCAACACATAGTAAGGTATCACATAACATAAAAAGAAATTACCAGACAAATATGGTAGTATAGAAATTAGCACATGTATAAAATGAACAAATCGAAGGTGTCAGTTTGCTACAGGAAAAGTACCTTCAATATGGAATTTGATCGCCTCTAGAAGCAATACAGTACATCAGTGCTCTGCAACCTTTTCTCACCTGCGACGCACAAAAAAATCTTTCTGGAATTTCGTGGCACACCAAAAGCTAATGTATATATGTATTGATTTATACACAAAATTTACAATAAATTTTTGTTTTTAATTTGAAAAATATACAATTATAAAACCATAACATATTCTATAGTATATTTAAAAATAATTGTTGATAAAAACTTGTTTTTATATAAATTTATTAGAACTCAAGTAATTTTTGTATACCATTTTTTGTTATTACTGACTGCGAAATTTTTTTAAAAAATTAAAAAACAAAAATTCTTCAATTTGATTGGTTTATTTCAAATTTTAAAAATAACAGTTTTAGAGCTATTATTTTTAATTAAAATGGTCTGAAACCAATATATTTCGTTTAAATTTATGTTTAAAAAAAAGTTATATACTTTTGAGTTCCGAGTTATCAAGGAAGTGCCGAAAAAATTCAAATGCTGACACACTTACGATCACACACACAACCATACAACAGTGAAATATATAAAAACATTTAAAATAAACATTATTAAGGGAAAAAATTGTCATTGTGCATTAAATACATGATAAAAAATTGCAAAATGTCAAATACATGTATTTGATTGCGGCACACCTATATCCTACTCATGGCACACCAGTGTGCCGCGGCACACCGGTTGCGGAGCACTGCAGTACATACAGCGATGTGTAATGCTTTCAACTATGCAGTCTATCAGTAGTTCCATAGGAAGCGAGAGCCATTGCTCTTGCAAAGCAGTTGCAAGCGCGACAAGGGTTTGAGGGGGCGGATTGAGAGCAGCTAGACGTCTCCCTAAAGCATCCCAAACGTGCTCGATAGGCTTCAAGTCCGGGGATCGAGATGGCCACTCCATGCGCATAATTGTTTCCTGCTGAAGATAATCTTATACGATGCGAGCTCTGTGTGGTCTTGCGTTGTCGTTCTGTAACAGGAAAGCATCACCTATTGCCCAGCATATGGCGCACATAAACATCAAGGATGTCATCTTTATAAATCTGAGCATTCACGGTTCCTCTTGGAAAGACATGGAGGTCTGCGCGTCCACCCAAAGAGATGCCACCCCAAACACAAACACTGCCCCTTCCGTATTCATCTCTTTCACGAATGTTTGACGGATGATAACGGGTTCTAGGTTCTCTTCATATCAAATAACGCCTACTATCGCTTTCTAGACTAAACCTGGACTCATCCGTAAAGAGAACCGCCCTCCATTGATCAGACATCCAGTGGACATGTTGTCGTGCCCACTGAAAACGGTCCCTCCTATGGCATGACGTGAGCGGCACACAAATGGCTGGTCGCCTCTCATACAGACCACCTTCTTGAGGCCTTCTACGCACAGTTGACGTTGACACAAACCTTCCGGTGGCTGCAGCAAGGGAGGATCTAAGAAGAGTCGGAGTAGCGTTTCTATACCTGCTTGCACATAATGTCAAATCTCGGTCATCGGCGCTCGTCGTAGCAGTTGGCTGTCCTTGGCTGAACCTCCTAGATGCAGAATCTGTGGTTTGAAATCGCCTACAAAGTCTATGAACCACAGAAGGACTCGCATTTAGCCATCTGGCCACTTCTGTTTGACTTTATCCTGCCTCTAGTCTCAATGGCTCTCCATCGTAGTTCTGCAGGCAAATGATGGCTGGAGGTCATTGTTACGAACTGGCTATTTCAGATTTCTGATGTCACTATCACAGTGAAATATGTGGGCTTGCTCTCAAACATGAACTTTTATTCTCCTCGCAGATGACGTATTCCGAGTGCAGCGCCACTAATTTGCATATTGCAGTTTTACTCAGCTACTCTTATTTGGCAACATATTTAAATTTTACACGGTTTGGCTTATTTTTGAGGGAGTTATCATTATTTTTGTGATTTTTCCTTAATTTATGATAACCAGTGTAGTTTACCAATAAAAATACATATACTTTTAAATCTTTGAAGACTTATAATTATCGTTTAACGTTAATCATTTACAGCACTAATACCCAGAAATACTGGCATACTAACAGCACAAGTATACAAAAGTTATGAAAAATATTTAAATTTCTAAAAATAAGATTTATAAACTTCCGTTTCTAGTTCAAACTTTGGAAATACACTAGTGCTTAAAATTAAAGGAATTTTCTTATTTGACTGATCCAGAACTTACTGGACTTAATATATATTTTTTTTTTCAGAGCCGATCACAGTTCTAAAGCAATTAAGAGATGAAGGATTTGAAATTTCTCTTCGCAATTGGCAGAAAGCAAACATGTCGTTTTACTATTGTAACTGAATCTACTGTATCCTATTTGCGAATATCAATTTTTTATTGATTCTTGAATGATGTGGTCTTGCATTTAAAAGAACGTTTTATTAAATACTACGCTGCCAGCCTTCGTTTGGCTTTTAAACGTACAGGAAAAGGGGCTGAAGGGAACACCAAACGTTAAATTTAAAAACTGCAACAGAATTTTACTCTGCAGAACAACTTCATCAAAATAATAATAATAAATAAATAAATAAATAAATAAATAAATAATATCTGAAATGTTCCAGATTTTAAATTAAGTCCAAAGGGGCTTTTTTTAACATTTTGTGTATTACATTTATTTATTAAATATCACGTTAAACCATAAAATTCAGTTCAACAGCAATATCGCAAAATACCGGGTGATCAAAAAGTCAGTATAAATTTGAAAACTTAATAAATCACGGAATAATGTAGATAGAGAGGTAAAGATTGACACACATACTTAGAATGACATGGGGTTTTATTAGAACCAATAAACAATACTGTTATCGGGCCTTTTTTCTCGAGGAAATGCGTGATTCTGGTTTTGTAAACTGCTACCGTGACGGGTGAGAGGTACGGCCGATATGTTACAGAATCGCATCGTCCCCAGCCTGGCTGATAAACACCTGCTGGAACGTACGATTTTTATGCAGGATGGCGCTCCACCCCATATTGCTAGACGCGTGAAAGATCTCTTGCGCGCGTCGTTTGGTGATGATCGTGTGCTCAGCAGCCACTTTCGTCATGCTTGGCCTCCTAGGTCCCCAGCCCTCATTCCGTGCGATTATTGGCTTTGGGGTTACCTGAAGTCGCAAGTGTATCGTGATCGATCGACATCTCTAGGGATGCTGAAAGACAACATCCGACGTCAATGCCTCACCATAACTCCGGACATGCTTTACAGTGCTGTTCACAACATTATTCCTCGACTACAGCTATTGTTGAGGAATGATGGTGAACATATTGAGCATTTCCTGTAAAGAATATCATCTTGTTTGTCTTAATTTGTTATGCTAATTATTGCTTTTCTGATCAGATTATTGCTTTTCTAATAAAACCCCATGTCATTCTAAGTATGTGTGTCAATTTTTACCTCTCTATCTACATTATTCCGTGATTTATTAAGTTTTCAAATTTATACTGACTTTTTGATAACCCTGTAGTTTTAAAATGAGCATATCTTTAGAATTTCTGATACAGAGACTCACGCGCTGAAGATAAATTTTTTTTTTCTGTACAACGTTGCCAAAGAAAGCACCGGGGCCAGACGGAATAAACTATCGAATAGTTAAGATCGCAATACGGTCGCACGTCAACCTCTTCCGTACCCTTTTCAACAAACTACTTTCCACTGGCACATTTCCCAGATGCTTCAAAATTGGCCAAGTTATTCTTTTCATCAAAAAGAATAAAGACCCAAAAAGAGCGGTCTCCTATCGTCCAATATGCCTACTATCAGCGCTTGGCAAGACATTTGAAAAGTTACTCATGAACAGACTGCGACACCACCTGCATACTACCAAATACTTAAGCGGAAAACCAATACGGATTTAGAGCAGGAAGATCAACAATCCACGCACTCATGGAAGTCAAGGAGAGCATTTTAGAGAACACAAATTTACCGGCCACCACACAGCATTCATATCATATCATTAGACCTAAAGAGTGCCTTTGACACTCTGTGGTGGCCGGCCATACAACATGCCCCGAGAGAGGCGAAATGTCCACGGAATATTTACCACACCCTGGAGAGTTACCTTTCAGAGCGAAAATTGATTCTACCGCATAACAGCGGTGTCATCAAGCAAGATCAAACCCAAGGATGTCCGCAAGGTTCCTGTGCGGGGCCGTTCCTATGGAACGTAACGTACAACATCATAGTCACACAGCCGTGGCCGGAACACACAAAAATAATTGCATACGCGGACGATACAGCTCTAATTGTGAAAGGGAACACCAGGAAATAAAACTCCAAATAGCTGAGAGAAAATCTCAAATACTGCTGATTCCTAAAAAGGGAGCACACTCGCACGCCAACCAAGGATAACGCTCAACGGCCAAAGACTCCG